CCCCCCAATTTACACAGGTGAGCAGAGCAGGCACAGTTTTACCATGTAGTAATCCACACACACGAATGCGTGATGCTGCTGTACAATGGATCAGGTCCATCAAAGTCAGCACTCTCCACCGTAACTGGCAGCGGCTCTCCAGGGTCTTAGGCTGAAGCCTTCCCATCAAGCTAACACCTGGCCCTTTTGACGTGGAGTTGCTGGGGACTGAACTTGGGGCTTCCTGCATGCCAAGCAGATGCTGCCCCTCTGATCTGTGGCTCCTCCCCATTTGCCAAGAGTCTCTTATCCCCCATACATCTTTCATTTGATTCTCATATTCAACCACTGCCTCCCAAAGGGTTGATCATTGGCAACATGATCCTAGTTCTTCTGCCTGCTGGCTGTCGTGTGGTTGTTGAAGCTGGAAAGGCCCTTCTTGACCTTTCCACTCCCAAAGTTATGCCAGACTAGAGATGTGAAGGCCCAGAAAAAAACCGGAAAAATTCGGAAAAAACCCGCTTTCCCCCCGTTTTTTTTTCCTGGAGCCTTTTTGTTTTTTTCCGAAAAATTGGAAAAATTGAAAAAAGAAAAGAAAAAAAATTGATTATGGAACGTTTTATTTTAACATGATGAATAAAATATTTTAAGACCAGGTGTTCAAATATTTTCCAAATCATTCCTAAAATATATATGTATGGTATCAGATTGATGTAATTTCTGTGCACCGAGGACAAGCAAGTCCTAGGTTACAAACTGAACTCTCCAATGCAAGAACAAGATGCATTTCTTCCTTTAGGAGGTGCGATTGTCAGAAGAAAATAAAAAAGTTTCAGTTTTGTTTTTGCATGTGGGTGGGTATTCTGTAATAATTGTTTGGATACACTACATTTTTAATATGCAAGTTGTGATAATTTCATGCCAAGTAAAAATGTCCATAGTCATATTTTATGTTCCTAAAGTAACAGAATGACTTTCAAACTAGAAAAAACAAAAGAAATGCTAATGTAGCATTTTTTTCAATTTTTCCAAAAATTTCCTTTTTTTCCGAGCTTCAAAATTTCCGGAAATTTTACATCTCTATAGACTAGCTGCTGGTGGTCACCAGCAGATGGGGCGGCCAGTCAGTGCTGGCGCTGAGAGAATGTCCAAGCAAACCGGTTGAGAAGTCAGGTAGAACTGCAGAAGAAAGGAGGGCAACTAAGATGGTTCTCACCTGTCCACCACCCTCCAGGGGGCAGGGGTCGTTGTTGGAACTGCAGTCGGCTGCACAGTGGGGCTGACGGAGCTCCCTCGGACGACACCGGGTAATCTCCGCAGGAAGCTTGTGTAAAGCGGTCTTGAATCGCCATGCCTGTGTGGAAGGTAGAACATGAGGAGTCACAGAGGAGTGGTTTATCCTACACCACACAGCCCCTTCAGGTACCAGAAATGACAGAAGGGTGAGGCACAAACATGAGAGAGAAATCAATTTTTTTTTTAAGTATACATTTTAGTCCTTATTGAAGTGTGTTGGAAAACAGCACCAAATCTCTCATGGTTCAGAGGGAAGTGACTTGCCTGTCTAACCCCCACCCCACACACCCCCGGTATTCTGAGAGTACTCAGGCATGCTGGCATCTCATTTCTCCACAGCACCATTTGCCAAAATTTCCCAAATTATCTAAAACCTCAAAACCCAACACTCAGAAGAAAGCCAGGAAAAAGCAACAACAGAGCATAGCGTTGCATGCATTTGTTCAGGTTTGCTCTGTTGTTGCTTTTTCCTGGCTTTCTTCTGAGTGTTGGGTTTTGAGGTTTTGTTGTTGCTTTTTCCTGGCTTTCTTCTGAGTGTTGGGTTTTGAGGTTTTGGATAATTTGGGAAATTATTAGAAATAATTTAGAAAATATGCCTTCCTGCATAATTCATTTTGCAGGCAGACGTTGGAATTCATTCCCTCCCCTTTATGGCACAAGACAAGGAACACGCCTTGTGCCTTCAGAATGTATAACTTTTGGAAGAAAAGAAAGGAGGGGGACAAAAATACTTAACCCCCCCAAAATTGAATTAAGAACCAGGAAGGTTAAATGAGTACAAATCTGAAGGCCAATACCTAAAAACAAAAAATGTGAAATATAAACATATAAATAGTACAAAATTATCAAAAATACATGAATTTATTACGATAACTTAAAAACGGTTATGGGCCCAACTATAGTCTCAATACAAGATAAAATCATACCCATGTACGCAAATGAAGCCTAATGCGACCTGACACATTTTGGCCTGACTGGCCATCATAGATAGTACACGCTTGGGCTCAATATTGCAATAATAATGCAAATAGTTAATCAATGTAGGACTAAAAAGGAGTTTTATTGTTATAATCAATGACATAAGGCACAGACGTACTACGGAGGCATCGTATGAGATCGCCTTGTGTCATAATCGGGTGCCTATTGCCGGGGTGATGTCTGAATTGCCTGCCTTCCTCTTTTGGTCCAGAAGATACAAGAGCAATTCAGGGCTAGTGTACCGTAATGGTATGTAGTGCCCTTTGGAAGGCAAATAACCATAACCTGTCTTCCTCCCTTACAAACCGGATGCTTGCAAGTGACACAAACCCTAGGTCTTGCACTGGCCCCTAGAATCCCTGGTGGGGCTGTGTCTTTGCAGCTACCAGAGAAAATCAAACAATAGGCCAGAGTTGCAGGTGGGTGAGAAGCTGGTGGGTTACAGCTGGGAATCGATAAGCCGGCCTCAAAGAGGAGAAGGAGGCAGAGCTGCTTCAAAGCGAGGGACGTCACGGCCAGCGTGGTGTCGCAACGCTCCCTCTCAGCGGTAGAGTCTTGTGAGCAAAAACTGCTCATTTTTGAGCTACTGGCATGAAAGTTGTGAGCCAGCAACTGGGCTGCTGCATAAACTAGTCTGCTCTGGGGCCCTCCTTCCCGAGTGTGAGCTGGAGGCTAAAAAACTGTGACCTAGCTCACACTAACTCAGCTTAGTGGGAACACTGGTTGCAGCCCGAGTGTCGGACTAGGGTCTGGGAGACCCAGGTTCAAATCTCCCCTCTGCCATGGAAGCTTGCTCGGCGACGTTTGGCACGCTCTCAGCCTAACCTACCTCACAGGGTTGCTGTGAGGATAAAATGGAGGAGAGGAGAACGACGTAAGCCGCTCTGGGTCCCCGTTGGGGAGACGAGTGGAGTGTGCAGATCTAAAATAAGCCAGCTGGCCCAAAAATAAAGGACATATAAGTTGTAATCCACAGGCTCAGCTGTCTCACGGGCAGCCTTCCCTCCTCCTTAGCCTCTGCTGAGATTCTGCATTCCCGCACCTGCTTTTCTTTGAATCCAACCTCAGCCTATACATGGGAATCCCGTGGGGCAACAAGCCCCACCCTACCCCCACGCACACGTCATGACCCCTGCAGGCAGAGAAACAGCTCAAGGTATCGGCAGGGAACTCTGAAAATCACGGCAGAGTAAGCAGACTTTAACCTGCCACCCGAGGCTGTGCAAAACCCCAACAAAAGCCGCCGGCTACCATGAGGAGGAGCCACGAGACTGGCATCGAAGCGCCCCCACCGTGCCCCCCCCAAGGGAGCAGCAGCCAGGCGCAGTCAGTTGACGCTCCCCTCTTCTCGTCTCACTGCCTTCGCGAGCTGATGGCGAGGGGACTGGCACAGCCACAAACAATTTTCTCCTCCACCAGCTTGGGTGGCGAAGGGAAAACAGCAGTGCTCCGGCTGGGCAACGCTGGCATCAGAGCAGGGGCACGACACCCCTTCGGCGCAACTTGTTTGCCAGCCGCCCCAACCTGGTCCTAGAAGGAGAGTCCACGCCAGTTACTCGGCTGCCGCCAAGAGTGGCGTGCACATGCAAACCAAAAATGATTGCCGTTGAGAGTAGTTATATAAATAACAAAATTTATTCCGGATCTATAATGGAACTTCTTTCCATGGGCGTGTGTATAGGATTGCCGTAAAGCCTTTGGCCTGGCGTGATGTGGTCCATGGGGTCGCGAAGAGTCGAACTCGACTGTGCGACTGAACATCAACAACAAAGACTTTGAATGGGAAATCTTCTTTTAACATCATCGGAGGTACCTAAGAACACTCTCTTCTGCTAACAAGACACCATTTTGGCCCCTTTCGTTCCCTGGCCTGGTATTGATCCACGGTTTCTTACAAGCTCCGGCTGGGTGGGAGTAGCATCAGGAAGACTCCCTTCAATCAATCAATAGATGAGAGGATGAGGGAGGAAGTTATACAAATCCTGCAGCCAAGCAGAGCAGCCTGTAGGGCAAAGCTGATGAAAGTCATACCTGGTGCAAACCACAGATAAGGCTATGGAATAATCACTGTTATGGTTTATTTGAGGGAGGGGTTATCTGCTTGTCAGAAAAGCACAGAGTGCTGGATGAACCACACCTTCCGATCGACACCAGTCTGCTGCCTGCCCTCTGCCATACGGGCCAATTGTTGAGATTGTCGTCGTAGCCAACTCATAAATGATGTTATTTATATAACTACTCTCGACGGTAATTATTTTTGGTTTGTATATGCACTGTACCTGTAGTTCTCCTGTTTTTGCTCCCCAGAGTGGAGTGGGGCCCCCGACCCTTCTGAATGGGAGCAAAGGGGGCCGGCACCTCCGCCAGCCCCCTCCCTAAGGAAACCACCGTGCCAGTGTGCCCTTTTGCCAGCCACGCCAGTGCGAGCTACGCTGCCAGGTGGACATCAATCATCCCCTAAGACTCGGGAAGGAGAGAGAGAGAGAGGCACCATCTGGTTGTTATTTCATGTGCCATATTCAGTCGCAGGAAACCACCCGAGGGCCCAGGCCCAGGTGCCATTGTTCTCGGCTAGCATCCCTCCGAACCAGCCATTGTCTGGCTTCTAATGAACTTTTCTGCAATTAGAAAAAGCATGCAGAGGAGCAGAGCAGCTGGGTAAAGGCAGGGCTGGTGGCACCGGTGGCGTGAGGCACCACGGTTGGTCGACTGCCAGTTTTCGAAGCCCACGCTCCGCTATCGTGATCATTTTGAAGTTACAGAAGAACAAAGCCTCCGCTTCACAGGCTAGGCAGACTGCAACAGCTTGCAGTTCACAGAAGTAAAACAGAAGCTATCTACTGTAGAAGAAGAAGAAGAGGAGATTGGATTTACACCCCGCCCTTCACTACCCACGGGAGTCTCAGAGCTGCTGACAAACTCCTTTCCCTTCCCCTCCCCACAACAGACACCCTGTGAGGTAGGTGGGGCTGAGAGAGTCCTTGACAGAAACGGCTCTTTTCCAAGGACAGCTCTTATCAGAACTACGGCTTGCCCAAGGTCATCCAGCAGGTGCAAGTGGAGGAGTGGGGAATCAAACCCGGTTCTCCCAGATTAGAGAGAAAGGAAGGTTATCATAAGATGCAGGCAACAGCCATTAATACCATGGGAACAGGGAATATATGAGAAATGAAAACTGTCTCATGCTAAAAATCAGTGGCATGCAACTTGCCGGGTTTGGAGTAGTGGTTGTGTACTGGTTAAGAACAGCAGATTCTAATCTGGAGAACTGGGTTTGATTCCCCTCTCCTCCTCCCCATGAAGCCAGCCGGGTGACCTTGGGTCAGTCACAGTTCTCTCCGAACTCTCTCAGCCCCACCTACCTCACAGGGTGCCTGCTGTGTGGAGGCAAACAGGCCCCAAACAAGTGCCTGGCTTGTGAGCCCATCCTTGCAGCCTTCTCACAGACCCTCGACACCTCCAGTGATTTTTCCTTCCCTTTCTTTCATAGGCACTCATCCATGCTTGCTTTGTCCTTCCCTGGTCATCCCTTTAGAGCACGGGCACAGGATGGGTGCGCCTTCCCTTTGATGCATTCTCCTGGCACGCGTGCATACAGCTCCTCGCCTCAAGACGTCCTCTTGTCCTGCTGTCTAGTCTTCCTGGAGCTTCGCCCCATCGCCCACTTCCTTCAGTGGGTTGGTGGCTGGCCCCTCCGTCCCCCTGACCAGTGTTCCCTCTAAGCTGAGTTAGTGTGAGCTAGCTCAGAGTTTTTTAGCCTCCGGCTCACACATTTTGGTCTCCGCTCAGGAAGGAGGGCTTCAGAGCAAACTAATTTATGCAGTAGCCAAATCACTTGCTCACAACTTTAATGCCAGGAGCTCACAATGTAGAATTTTTGCTCACAGGACTCTACAGCTTAAAGGGAACATTGCCCCTGACCGGTGGAAGGGTTAAACCCAAATGTTTTTTTCCTCAGGGCTAAACCTCTCACCCTCCAGGGGCCATGTCCTTAGCAGTCTGTGGTGTGCTGGTTAAGGTGTCAGACTAGTATATGGGAGAGCCGGGTTCAAATCTCCACTCATGCCACGGAAGCTCACTGAGTGCCTTTGTGGCAGCCACACTCTCTCGGCCTAACTTGCCTCCCAGGGTTATTGTGAGGATAAAGTGGAGGAGAGGAGACGGATGTAAGCCGCCTTGGGTCTCCACTGGGGAGAAAGACGGGGCATAAATGGATTTAATTAATTAATTAACATTCTCGCGAAAGAAGACCAGTTCCAATTTGAAAGGAGCATCAGTTTCGCCCACTCAGCCTCTTCCTGATGGCCTCGGGAAGCCAGTTTGGTGTTTAGGAATGCAGACACTAATCTGGGAGAACCGGGTTTGATTCCCCCACTCCTCCACATGCAGCCAGCTGGGGAGCGGTGGCACAGTGGGTATATCCCACTGTCTTAACATCCGAACTGTGTCAGTTCGAGTCCCGCGCTGGTGTGAGCAGCCAGCCTGTCGTCCCCAGCTCATCGTCCACCCAGCGATTCGAAAGCCTCGCCGAGTAGATAAAATGGGAACCACTCCTTAGAGAGGGTGGGCACACCGACTCCCTTCTGGGAAGGTGTTAGCTCTCGGTTGGAGACGTCCTGGTCTGGACCCGGAAGGCGGAAGAATCTACTCAGCTAAGAAAAATCCCTGCAGTGGGATGCTCCGGCCAGGCGGCGGCAGTGTGGCGATGCAGCTGTTGGAACATGACTGAGTCAAGCCAGAAACTTTTCCACCGGGCAGTACAGCGTGTGCAACTTAAATGAATTATATGTTGTCTTCCCTATCCCCTATGAAA